CTCATTCATCCAAACAGCCCATGCCAGTGTTCTGGGTGTGGAGCCTGCAGTAATGCACACACACTCATCTTAAGTAGTTAGATTTTCACCTGATCCTCTGTCAGCAGAGAACGTAGCGCCTACTCAGGCTTCATTGTACCTGCTCAGTAGAGTCCCACTGAGATTTTATTGTTGATGGATGTAGAAATCACATCAAAACAAAGGACTGTTTTTCAGTCCCACTCTGCTGTAGCTATATCTAGTTAGACATAATCTTGTCTACGCAGCCTGTTCTCAGGTTCCTTTGTTTTCCAATCTCATCAGCTTCTCTGTGTTCCATCATGATTTATCATGAGACACTAACTAATATGAGAACTGTTTATGCAGCTAATTACCCCATCACTCATTTTGGAGGATGTGATCCTGGCTGTTGATGAGACAAACCAGTTTGGGTCCCAAAATGATGGTTCTGTGTAGGGTACAAATTCTGACTCCCCCTTGTTAGGCCAGGTAATATCCTTTGGTTCACACTGAAATATTTAACTGTTTAAAATATGAAGCAGACGTGTGCTCCTGGGCAGCCAGAGCAGTTCAAAAAGGACATTTGACTTGGCAGTGACTAATTTGGAATGTTGGCTGCAAGTGGAGGCAAGCGTTAGCTGCGGGATGAGGAATGAGGTCACCCTGGCGGTAGCAGCCTCCAGGTGTACACTGCAAACACAGAGACACAGGGCCCTGTGTGATGATGAACATCCAGGCTCCTTCTGGTCTGCAGCCAGAAGGTCGCTGGGTTTTAGTCCTGTATGCCACGCATGCAGGCAGATAGTAACCTGAGAGGTAATTGGGTGACCCCCCCCATCACTGTCCTCTCACCGGACCCATCAAAGAGCTCCAGCTTTTCAAACCACACATACTAATCACCTGGCTTAACCCCCTAACAGTTTGTAGTCTCTCATTCACATATTCAGCTTCTTCACTTTTGAACACAGTGTCTCAGTGATGCTGTTATCATATTATCTTTTGTTTATAAGCTTGTTTTAGCATTTCATATCCAGGGCAGCCAATAATACAGTATTTAGCGGAATATGTGTTTTGTTATGTGTTTTAAATGAGTAATACTGTGCTACTAAATGCAGCAGAGGGTGTATGAAGGTCAGTGTAATTCACTAATCCCTGTGGTGTATTTACCCCCTCTGTTAATTGCATGTCATCTTATCTGGGATTGCAGAGGTTGGATTAAAAGTGCAATGCAATGTTAGATTGATATTTAGGCAGAGAGCTGTTACTGTGATGGACTTTTCACTAAAGTATAAACTGAATACATGGGACATTTCTTAGTGCAGTTTAAAATAAGGTTGTAACGGTACTTATTTAGTGTGATTCAGTTTGTGTATTGAAATCTCACAGGGTTTTTATTCTCACTGCAGCTTCACTGGAATGAATGAGTTGTAAATAATGAAGTGAATCCACTGTGATACAGTCCTCCACATGTTAATGGTCTGCTGAAGTATTTTCTCTGCTAGAAGCTCCACAGTGAGATTCCATGCAAGCGTATAAGGTGATGGTTACTGACGGTCCCTACCAGTGGCTGCCGTTGTTGCTGGCTGTATTCGTTTCTCCTGTACAGACAGATGGAAGGAGGCCAGTTGCAGATTTTTACATTCTTTTGATTCTGTTGTGCATTATCTTTATGTGTCTGAACCAGTAATTCCTACAAATCACTACAAGCTATGCCAGTGCAAATGTGGGTGTGATCTTTGCACCAACTGTGTGCTCCAGAATAACAAGTTTTAAAAGAGAAGGAAATGTGATGGTTCCCTACAAACTAGTCAGAAGTGTGTGTGTGTGTGTGTGTGTGTGTCTGTCTGTCAGAGTGTGAGCTCGCCTCCCTCGGGCTCTGCTTTTTCAGTGAAGAAGACGAGAGCTGAATGCATCATCAGAAGACCTCTCACCCCAAGCAGCATCTTAGTCCCTTTGGGGGCTTTTGTCTTCTGCTCTGTGACACATGGCTGTGATGGCCTGTCAGCGCGCCCTCCCAGCCTGCTGATGCCTCAGTGGGCAGTGGCGCTTTTGCTCCTCAGACCTCCTCCCCTCATCTCCAGTAAACGCTCACCCAGCTCTGGAATGCAGCTAGTTTGCAGACACGTCATTCCAGTCTCAATGTACTGTTACACCTGAACAAGACAGCTTTTACTAAATATCTCCCATATTTCTGCTCCAACAGTCTTGTTGTCATGTTTTACATTGTCACATCCAGCTTGCTGTCGCCTCCCTCCTGTGTGTGTTTGTTTACCCACTTCTAGCTGTGAAATACACACAGTGCAGCTGAAAGTTTGCTTGTGACAGACAGGATGTCCCCACAGGTATCCGACTTCTCATCACAGACAGGTTTCACATACACACTCACACACTGCATCCGTCTTGCTGTCTCACACACACACACAGGCTAAACACTCATACAGGCACAGCCCAAGAGGAATGTCTGGGAAAAACAGTGATGAAGTCAGTGCTTCGAAAAATGATAGATATCAAACCAAGAATTAATCAGTATAGCTACAAATACTTCTTGAGCTCTGGAGACTTTTCTATGTACTTTTAATTGGAAGTTGTAAAGACGTCAAATCATTTAATCTATGGCCTGTGTGTTCAGGTAGAAACATTTGCTTTTTGTTTTAAGAGGCAGTTTATAACCTACCTATAAAGTTTTATGACAGTAAATCAAACATGCCATAAATGTTGAAACACCATCATTTGCTGATAAGAAGTAACACTGCTCTGCAACATGAATACTCTTTCATTTTGATTCCCTTTATTTTTTTAATAGTTGCAATGAACAACTTGCAGCAAAATGTCAGTGGTGGAAGAAGTACTCAGATCCTTTACTTAAGTAAAAGTAGCAATACCACAGTGTAAAAATACTCTGAGTCCTGCATTCAAAATGGTACTTAAGTAAAAGTGCAACATATTAGCATTAAAACACACTTAAAATACTACAAGTAAAAGTACTCATTATGCAGAATGGCACATTTAACATGAATGCATATCATACTATTGAATTATAATTACTGCGGCATTATGTGCGTCACATTTAATGTTGCAGCTGGTGAAGGGGGAGCAAGTTTTAATGAGCTTACTGTATATACTTCTAATCTGAAGTACTGCTGGGCAGCTTGTACATTTTCCACTTGATATCAATAAAGTCTAATGATTATACTGTATTTTTGTATTAATCTGGCTCTGAAAAGTAATTAGGGACTAAATTATTAAATAAATGTAGTGGAGAAAAAAAGTACAGCATTTGCCTCTAAAATATAGTGAAGTCAAAGTATGAAGTAGCACAAAATGAAAATACTCAAATACATCAAAATTAGTTACTTTGGACCACTGGTAATATTTAACCTAATATTGACAGTGTACTTGCTGTACTGGCTTGTTAAGTAAATACACTTAGCTAAGATGAAATTACAGTTTAATTCAACAGTTCTGCAGTAAACTTTACCTTCATAACAGGTAGAATGTTCAGGTTAGTATTTTAGAGTTTTATTATGTTCAATTTAGTTTTAATTAGGTGTACCTAATAACCTGGCATCTGGCTGTGCATAATCAGCATTAAAACATTTCATAAACAGCCATGTCCTGACAGACAAATGGGTCAGAACACAACCCAGCGTTTGCTTATCAAATGCAACCTTTGTAGACAGTGTTTCTCAGTTGTGAATAATTTACAGTCTGTATGGATGCATTCAACACACCCTCACCTTGATGTTTAGCTAGTTAGCATATGCCATATGGTAAGGTGTGACTCTCGGTTGATTGGTCCACAACTTTGGCCCAAACTGAAATATCTCCGCAGATGCTGGATGGACTGCCATAATATTTTGTGGAGACATTCATGGTCCCTATAGCGCTGAAATCTTATGTCACTATTGAGCTGTTCTAATAATTTGGCTTATGCCTGCAAAACAAACAACAGTCATCTGCCTCAGCTTTACATTTATTTAGGTAAAGCTAGCTAGTGTTAGCGTTCTAATATTCTAAATCAAGATTGTGAACATGTACCTATGCGACATCAGCATGGTATTAGCAATGTAACTGTGAACGTTAGCATAACATTAGCTCAAACTAACAATGTCTTGTTTCTTACTATCTTTGATTTGCTGTCACTATATCAATTAGGTAACAGTTATAACAGTTATCTGACCTACCTATCCCCTGCTCTCAAATCTATTTTTATTTTAAATTATTAATGTTAAAATCATTATAAGTGCAGTCAGAAGTTGGAAGATGAGTAAGCTGGACACTTAGTCTTGTGTAGCTGTAACATTAGGTCACATAATGTTACCTTAATGCTAACGATATTTAGAATTATGTTTCTTGATTTGAATGTATTCATAAAGAGGATCGGACAGAATTCCCTTTTAGAGTAAACCTGCATGGGTCTGAATTTGTTGCATGATATAATGCAGTGTTAAAGTTTCCAGAGGAAGACACCAGTCAGTTTGTTTTTAAGGAACAAAATTTTGAGCGTAAGGTTTGACCTTTTGAAAGGCGCCTGTGGGTTTATTAAGGGTAGGTGCTATTCAGCTCAGCACAGTGTAGAAAGCTATTTAAAAGCTCTTTCCCAGTCAAAAGCCAATTTCCAATGTATTCTGGAAGTGCAGACCTTTTGTGCCTGAAAACCGCACTGTGCTCTGATACAGATAAAAAACAATGGCAAGCCTGTGTGGATGAATGGAGGCAGTTTGGCATGTGCCTGTGTGTTTTCGCACTCTTGCCTCACTCGTCCTCGGGGGTTCACACCTCTTTCTCTGAGATATTTTTGTACGTCCGCCGTGTACCATCATCACAGCTCAAATGACTCTGAGGTGTAGCAGTGACAACAGCAGTGCATCACAGGTGACGAATGCTGGAAACTGAGGCTCAGATGTGTCAAGAAGAAAAACACTTAGCTCAGACAGAGTGAACAGATGTTAGCAGGTCAATACAAGGCATCTGGAATTTTTCTGTACCTCTTTCTGTAACACGTGGTGGTATTGGCCCATCTATCACACTGTGTGGTTCTGATAATACTGTCCGCCTGATACTACATTCAGCATCACCTGCAGCCAAAAACAGGTGAGAATTTGTATTGAAGTTTCTGTCCTCCACCTCCCAAAATGAAATGATTTTTTTAAGGTCAAGGGCATCTGCTACAATATTCATCTCTACAGGGGGAAGCTTCTTTTGAATTCACTTTAAAAAAAGACCTATAGATGAGGAGAATGCTACAGCTCTCTACATGGGGGAAGAAATGAAATGAAAATGACAAGATAACTGCAGAATTATTTCTGGCCTCTGGGCTGTTGGACCAGCCAAGAAATAGCCCTGTACATAACCACCAGAAAACAGCAAAGTATCGATTTAACACAATGAATAACATATAATTATTGAGTTTCAGAGCTCAGTAGGTTGGTGGATTTTGTTACTTTTGGACTCCAGGTTAGCAGTTTCAGTCTTTATGCTAAGCTAAGGTAACTGGTGGCTGGTAGCAGCTTCGTATTTACCACCCAGACATGAGAGTGCTATCACTTGTCTGACTCATCTGTCCTTTGACCAAGATGTTAAATCCCTACCAATGAGGTGTAGTAACTCCGTTACTCTGGCTTCTCTTGAGAATCAGCAGGAGGATTTCCTCATGGGAATGTGTACAGTGTCACAGAACTGCGATGAATAATCAGTAAGGTCCCACCTAAGAAACATCTGTACACCTTCTGTCATGTCACATTCAGATTAAGCCTCATCAGCCTCAGTGCTGTCACAGCCTATGACTTACAGTAACTGTTTCATGCTCTTTTTAATAGTGCATTTCTGTGCCACAGAGACCCTAAGGGAGGAGGCTGTCCTTGTATATTTTTGAACCATTTGATCATGCATAAGAAAGCCTCTTCTTACTTTTTGGCTTCATCTCTGTACTCGCCTTCACTCCATGTTCACCTCTGTCTTTCTGTCTCAGGTGTGGTGTATACAGAGGTACGTCGACCTTGCAGAGTGCTGGTCCTGGTGAACCCTCACAGCGGGCGTGGCCAGGCTTTCCAGCTCTTTACTGGCCATGTGCAGGGCATGTTAACAGAGGCTGCTGTTCCCTGCACACTCATCATCACAGGTCAGTTGTATTTATGCACAAACAGACTTTAATTATTCATACAGACAGTGCTCATCTCAGGGTCACCTTGACTTGAAAGAGGGTTGAAGGGATTCAGTTTCAATCCCAGCATAGTGCTGTCATGGGGCACAGATCTGTAAAGGCCTCCCAACTCTCCTACATCAGAGCAAGGCCACCCCAGACTGAAAGATGCAAACATTTGTAGCCATTGTGTCTTCATGTCTGCAGCAGCTGTGCTCTCTGCAGCGAGTATGTATTATTTGTGTAATTCTGAATTCCAAAAGGCCACATGTTCAAAGGAAATGTGAGCATGTGCACACACACACATCTACAGATGCTCAACACGAAACACATTAAATTCTCATTTCAGTCCCCCCCGGCTGCTCCACATTCTGCAGGAGAAGCTGGTGGCTTTTTGTGACCTTAAACAGTGTCATGTGTTGGTTTTTCTCATCAGAGGCTTTGAACACTACATGACTTCTGTATGAATACCAAGGAGTTGTTGTGGGACGGCGAAGGCTTTAATGCCAAAGGTCCTGTGTGCAGTGTGTCGTTTACCTTTCAACCATTCATCTTTCACTCACCTTCCACCCCAACTCCAACTCAGTTTGACAGGGTCAACAGTTTGATTCTTGTTTGTAAGAATGTCTCCTCTAGTCTCAGCTTGGCAGTTGAATCTCTGATGCAGCTCAAAGTTAAATTCAGTGTAACAGCAAAGGCAGAGAAACCAGGGGAGAGACTGTGTTTGTTTATTTGAGAAAGAGTCCCGATGCACGTGCAGGCTCTTTGTCCAGACTCCTGGGACTTAAAGAAGGTCAGCATGGTGATGGTGATGAAAAAAAGTAATTACTGGCTCTGAAACAGTCCCGATGCACGTGCAGGCTCTTTGTCCAGACTCCTGGGACTTAAAGAAGGTCAGCATGGTGATGGTGATGGTAATGAAATAAAAGACAGAGTAATTACTGGCTCTGAAACAGAACGGAGCAGAACAGAAAGGAGGGGTCAGAATATGAGGGTCTGCACTCAGTGGATACGGCTGCAAGTCAGATGTGACGATGAGTGGATTAACTGCCCTGCCCTACCCTACTGACCTTGCACACATCTCCTTGATGAATGCATCACGGAGCCTTTACCTGAGGAAGGACAAGTACGAGTCGAGGCACTTCTCCTGTCAACTTTTTACATACTGAATAAAGCATCCAGGGTACCAAGCTTTGTCTCTACCCTGGTTAACCTCAGAAGGCAGTTGAGTGTGACATGATATGTGCTGCATTTAAAGTGAAACAACTGGAATTCATCAAAGATTTTAAGTTTGTGTTCCTGTATTGACTTAAAGAGGCTCAAAGAAGACTCAACAAACCACCAGTGAACTATCTCCCTTCTTAGGTTGTGTGTATTTGTGTTCGACAGTGACCCCTTGAATAAGGAAGCAGCTGGGAAGTAAAACATCAGCCCCAGCCCCGGCAGGCTCAAAGTGCTGAGTCAGCTGTGCAGTCCAGTTACTCCCTCTGCATCTCTCTGTCAACACAGCACTGCATCAACAGCTGCAGCCTCCCCACCAAACAATAAACAAACAGCAGCAACATGAGGAGTACAGCTGGGAGAGAGAGTGCAGGGTAGAGGCTGAGCACAGTGAAAGGAAAGCGGGGAATATTTGTGTTTACTTCAATTCTGTCCTCCATCAGTACTTCAGCTGGAGCGAGAAATATTTCCTTCATGATGACATGGCATCAATACCTGCTAACGTATGTGCTGTCTGCCTTCCTCTCTCTCTCTCTCTCCTCTCCATTCCACACACAGACAAACACATAACGACACTGGGGAGACTCAGCTGGAGGCACTGTAGGCTTTAATGCTCAACAGAGACCCCCTGCAGACCCCCGCTCAAGGACGCTGCCAGTAAAACTAGGCTGAACAAACATCTCAGTCAACCACCAGCACATTAACCGACACACACATACACATATGAATGCACGTACAGACATACAGATATTTGTCAGTCACAGATGTTTGCAGGGCAGAAAAGCTGCCTTGGAGCTGCTGAGTCGCCACTGGATGGGCTAATGCGATATGTCTGGTCTGATAAGGGGAAACTGATTCTCTTCTGTCTAATCTCCCTGATCCTACCCTGGAGGCTGCTGATGAAGGGAGTGTCTTTTTCTGTTCTTGCCCCTGTTTTTATTTTGTCAGTTTACCCCACATGCTGCCACATCTTCTGTTTTGTGTTTTTGAAATGTTTCCTGTTCTTCCGTGTCCATCAGAGCACCAGAACCACGCACGGGAGCTGGTGAGGAAGGCGGACCTGTCACAGTGGGACGCCCTGGTTATCATGTCTGGAGATGGGCTGCTGTTTGAGGTGCTATGACTTTATCCAGCCTGTTTCTGTCTCACAGTGACATGATTGTCAATCAGTCACAGATGGAAGTAATATAAACCCTCACACATCTGTTGTTACCACTTTTCAGAATAGGCCTATAAAAATTGTACTTGTTGTCAAACATGACAAAAGAGCTTAGCTGTTGTAAATGTAGGACCTAAAATTTCTGTGGTTATTGACATGTATCATTGTTATCCAGATGTTTTATTGATTCTAGTTTTTTAAAAGATGATGCACAATATACAAAAGTGTATACTGTATGTGTGCATGGTTTCTGCTCAGTGTACAATGTATAAATCTTTAGCCAGAGTAGCTTTAAATTTCATGACACAGAGCAGCTATAACCATTAATGAAAGACATTTATCACAATTTGTGGTTATACACAGACACCTCTTTCTGTTTAGGACCATAGTCTGATTCTTTTTCCATTCATGCTCATTCAGGTGATAAATGGTCTGATGGAGCGAGAGGACTGGCAAGAGGCCATCCAGACCCCTCTGGGCATTTTACCAGGTGGCTCAGGCAATGCCCTGGCTGCCTCTGTCCACCACTACTCACAGTAAGTCAGTCCATTAATGAGTCGTTTAAATGCATGGACTAACAGTGCAAAAGAAGAGCAAAGATGAACCTACCTCAGCTCATAAAGAGCGCAGTTCATCTCATTTCTGTGCAATTATCCCAAAGGCTGACTGGGCACATCATTCCTCAGGAGGGAGGAGAGAGTGGAGCAGAGTGGAGCTGCTTCGCTCTGCAGCAGGAGGTCATTTCAGGCAGCTGATAGCTCTTGAAGTATTGATGGAATGGTTTTAGAAACTGGCACATTATGAGTTATTATGATTCAAAGTGGTGGAACTAGTCGATCTGGTACATTTCCAGGATATCATCTTCATCTGCTGGTTGCTTATGGGCACAGCAGCAAAAACAAAAAAAACAGGAATTCACCTGTTTTGTAATTTGTGTCCAAAAGCTACAGGTCTGGGCAGGCCTTAGCAGGGATTTAAAGAATGCTTTGGTCATGAGTCCATGTGCCCTCCTCCACCACCCCCACCCCTGCAGTCAGTCTTGACTAGATGCCAATAACTGTCTATGAATGGATTTTTAAAAGTTCATCTTAACCCGCCGTTCAGTTATTGGTTTTTCTGGGTGCTTTTAATTGCTCGTCAAATCAAATCAAAGTAGTCAAATGTATTATCCTCTTTGTGAGTGATGTGACAGCTGGTAAAAGCTTCCTTACCCCCCAAAAAGCCAAATGTAAAGAACTTTTTGGGCCACTGAAAATTCCTAAAGTGTAGCTGTCAGAAAAACATACACGTGGCTGTGTATAAGGTATAAGGTTAGAAAAGCTTACCTTTGGTACTTTTAGTCATGGTAGCATGGCTAAAATGCTAGTGTGACTGAAGCCATCAGGATCAAGAATGTTTACATTTATTGTGGGTAGTTAGCAAGCTGTTGTTAGCATTTATCTGCTGCTAGCATGGCTGCAGACTCTTAGATATGCTGAGTTTCATTGTATCCAGGAAATGCACATTTACTTATATTTAAATTTAAACTAAGCCAAAAAACTGCTGTATTGTATTTAGATCTCATTTACAGGCTGGTGGGTAACATACTGGGAGGAGCCACGGGCCTTCCGTCCGGAGACCTCCAAAGACCCTCCTCCGTTTTCACTGCTCCTCTTTCAACCCACACTTGTTTGTCTAAAGGAGATGCTTCTTCCTGAGCTTCTATTAACATATTTACATTAATTTCTGGCAACAAGTCATATATTGTTTTCTGTGACTGCACCACCAGAAACTGTCCACTGTATCCTGCCTCTTCTTTTGCTGCCTTATCTGCCATTTGATTCCCTCGTGCTTCCAGCGTGTTCCCAGTTTGATGTCCCTTACACTTTACCACTGCTATCTCTGCTGGTTTTAACAGTGCTTCTGCCAGGAGTTTCATTTCCTTTTCATGCTTGATAGGAGTTCCTGATGCTGTCAAAAACCCTGCTCTGAGCCAAGCTGCTAGTTCATGATGTACTGCATTCGACACATAAGCTGAGTCCGTATATATCGTAACTCTCTTACCCTTTCCATACTCAGCTGCAGCTATCACTGCCAAAAGTTCAGCTCGTTGTGCTGACAACTGACCAGTCAACTTCTCCTTTATGACTTCCTTGAACTCTCCCTGATCATGTTTAACTACAGCCATTGCTGCCTTCAGTCCTTCATCTGGATGTCTGAAACAGCATCCATCAGTAAAGAGTATCTCATCTGCTTCTTCCAGTGGATTTGCACGTAGGTCTACTCTTACCTTCAACTCCTGTGCAGCTTTCTCCTCACACATGTGTAATTCACCATCTCCCACTGCATCTGCCATGACAAAGATGTCAGCAAGATGAACGCAAATGGGATCTATCTTTAGAAAATATGGCCTTTCTTTTCATTGTTATGCTGATGAAATTCAGATTTACATATCGTTAAAGGCATCAAGAGGGATGTCATTACAGCCACTGTTTGACTGTCTGACAGACTTGAAATCATGGCTGGCACTTAACCTTTTAAATCTCAACGAAAATAAGACAGAGTGTGTGCTATTTGGTGACCTGGCAAACTTAACTGCTTCTAACCAGGGCCTGGGCCCCCTAGCTTGACACCTGAAGTCGACTAAAAAATCTAGGGGTGATGTTTGATGGCGACTTGAGGTTTGACAAGCAAATCATCTCAGTTGTGAAACCTGGCTTCTTCCACCTGAGGCTGGTTAAGCAAGGCCAAGTCATTCCTTTCTTTTAATGATTTTGAGATTGCAATCCATGCTTTTATCATTTCTAGACTGGATTATTGCAGTGCTCTATACCTAGGTATTAACTAGTCCTCCTTCACTCGTCTCCAAATGGTGCAAAATGCTGCTGCTCGTCTTTTGACAAGTACTAGGAAATTCAACCATATAACTCCAGTTCTGGCATCTCTCCACTGGCTTCTGGTCCATTTTAGAATCGCTTTTAAGCTGCTGGTTTTTGTTTTT